GCTGTGTGAGTGCAGAAAGACAGCATGAAGGAGGAGGAGCGATGGGCTCGGACGCGCAGCGGCAAGCGGGGGAGCCAGAGACCCTGAGAAACCGCCGTTTCTGGCAGTCGCAGGCTAGGTGAGTTCGTCTCTGATGTTTCAGGTACAGTCGGAACTGAGATTGAGCAAAGTATGCACGCTGAACGACTGAAGCTCTGGGAGGATTTCAATCATTGCTGGCTCACAGCTCTTCAAAGACAAAAAGAAATCACGGAGGAGAGTCTTGAATCCGGCCAACGACCACGTCCAACTCGCTAGTGAGGCTTTGTGATCTGATGGAAAAGCATAGCTTGGTAGACTATCAGATGGGCGTCTGGGAAGAAAAGATAATGTCAAGTGAGTCACCCAACTTTCAGCTACTGCGAAAGCCGACTGTGTCTAATTCGAACTAGTGCTCACGGCATGTCTGGACTTGATTGAGGACCAGCCGCGAGGCTCGACCGGCTATGTCTAGATAGATGGCTCATGGGAACGCGACAACAATGATGCATACTGATTGCATAATACATGTCTTGATGGGACATATCGCATTGACCATTTCTGGACGGAAACACATCGACTGGCAATTCGGCTTGATCAGACCGGGCTGGGTTTGGTCTCAGTCTCCCAGAATCACGATATATTCCACACTCCGCTGCGCGTAAGAACTTTTGTTCCTTCTTCGGGTTCTAAGGCGCACTGTACGGTTATTGACAAGTATATTTCGCTAATGCTCGTGCGAGGAAGCTCTGTCGAGGACAAGCGAAAGCATGGATGGATCTGCAGGTACCAAGAGTGGCAAAAAGCTTGGCAAAAAATCCGACCTGTGTTGTCCACATTCGAATCTCGACCCCATCCAGAACTACAGACCACCGAAGAAGCGTAGACTGAAGAAGTCGCGGCGCACTTCCAGTGCACTTCCTGTGTGCAGGACTTCAATGCACACGTTAACCTCGTTCCCCTCTTCCACTGAGCTTCGTGCGCCGTATCTAAACCCCTTCTCTCAGATGCAACACTGTAGCATCTTCTAACAATGCTAGACGGGCATCAGATGGCATCCAGATGCCTCGATGGATTTGACCCGTTCCAAAGGAATCACGCATGTTATATTGTCGTTCATGCTAAGCTACCAGGCTGAGTAGCTAGGAAGATGCAACAAGCTAATAACTACTCAACATTGACGCCATTTCAGAGAGTTTTCCCATCTGCCGTAGACGACCCGTAGCGAATTCTGTGATTCTTCGAGCGCCCTTAGAATGGAGAAATGAGCATGCAAACAGTGGGAAGCATCGATAGATCATGCCTAATGCCACACGCCCTCTCCTGGTCCCTGCAGTGATGAGAGCTACAGGGCGCGCAGGACGCCTCTCTGGGATATCGACGTTTGAGGCTCAGTAAGTAGGCAACCAGTGGACCGAATTCTGGGCGAGTCTTCGTTATTTTACGGCACTGTGACAAGATCTACTAAGCTGGTCAGCACTGGGCCTTTTGACTATCTTTAATTTGCTGTCCAGGATTCTAGACTGCCAAGACTTTGGCGAGTAAACAATGGCGCCAGTGTGCGCTATGGCGGAGGACTCAGTAAACAATACAGTGCTTGTCCTCAATCAAGCACAGCGTCCGCTAGTAAGAAAGTACAGTGCACCATGCAAATGATACAAACGGTAGGGGCGTCTTTTGAGTCCCGCTTGTGATTATTTGCACCTGTCTAGCGAGGCTGACTTTGTGTTATAAAATCAGGCTGTTCTACTATCTTTGAGAGGCTCTTGTACCACCCAGGAGCTTATCGCCACCTTCTAGACAACACTTGTACCTACTTACATCCTAAAACATGACTACAGAGGCACGAATTCTTGAAGCAGCACGCCGTCTCAATGAGGTGAGTTCAAAACAACCCACTCACCACACAGGGGAGTAAGTGAATTAGCAGCAGGGTTCTCGCCCTCCGAGACTCTCAGTTTAGAGTCTCTAATACGCTCTATACGCGACAGAGATACTCGCAGCTCACAGGACAAGATCTCGATTCTTGAAAGCGCCAAGGAGATTGTACGGCAATTGGAGAGCCCAGACGAGCGAGCAATGGAACTTCTCATGTCATTCTCCATCGTACCGGCCTTGAAGATCGCTATGGATATGGGTGTCTTCAAGATGCTAGCCATCCGCAGCCGAGTAACAGCATCCGAGATTGCACATCAAGCCAAAGCAGAGGAGGAGTTTGTTGGTAAGCTCGGGACAATCTATCTGTATGCTAAGCCGTCTGACACAATCAGTCCGGATAATGCGCGTACTTGTATCTATCGGTGTACTTGCCATTCTCTCTGTCCGTACATATGGATCGACTCGGCTCTCCGATTCCTTCACTGTACCAGCAAATGCTGCTGGGGTATGTGTTGTTAACGACCAAGCCCTTCGTGCTGTGTCACGATTCTCCGAGTACGCCGCCGCCCACTCCTACCACAACCCGACAAACACGCTTACAGGCCCTTTCCAGTTCGCACTTAACACCTTTGAATCCTGGTTCTCCTGGCTCTCCACACGCCCTCACGAAGATGGATGGTGGCGTCGAGCCAGAGCACCGAAAGGACAGACTCCGACTAAGCTTGGTACTCTTGATCGAGAGTTCTATACCTGGGTAGAGGTAAGTTATACCTACTGCCTGCCCTTGAGGTAAAATACCCCGGGCGTGCGATGACAATCTCGCGCTTCATACGAATCAACAGATTGAGCCACTCATCTCGAACTTTTGAGGACTTCCTCCACATCGCCTTTACACATAGCCACGCCGACCAGTGAGCTCTACGCTTCTTCACACATGCCGCAGATGGGTATTACATTGATGAGACGCTCCGGCAGAGGGTAGTAGCGATTACTCCAAGATACACCATATAATCCCTATTTAAACACCAGCTGTGCTAAGTAGAACACCTGCTGTCTTCGCAGCTTCTTAATGAGCAGTTCCAGGCCGAGCCATCTCCAACGTCTGCCTTGGATCACTCACACAATGCAAGCATACTGACCTTTGTAATGTCGACAAGCCTTACTAAATCTGCGACTCGGTACTCTCTATGGGCACCTCGTACTATGATTATGAATACCTCATACTTGATAACGTGGAAGTCCAGAGTATGGACAACCCAGATGTTCATTGATGATGTTCGAAAAGTCAAGGTTACCACAAGTGTGTTCAAGCATTGGGTGGAAAGGACGAGTACTCGAAAGAAGATGGTAACAGCCAAGTGCCAGTTCAATACGGGCCACTATCTTCTTGCCGTTATCACTGCGTCATCACAAGCCTCCATTCGTCCTTCTCACTGTACCTGGCGGGCATATGATCGTCTTTGGGCTGACTTAAGCGCTCTCGCTCCCATTGCAACTCTTCTTTGAGCTCGAGATTCTCAGACAACCAGACTTAACAGGTTGAGGGTGCGAGATTGGCGGAAAGTCGACTCCCTTTTTCGAACGGATTAGCCCTATACTGGATAGTCAGGGATACACTTCTCGGCATACCGACAGTGAAAGTCCCTTAGGTATAGTAGAAAAGCAGCTGTAAATAGGAGAGGCATGGATTGAAAGTGACAAGATCCGGTCCGAGGTCCGAACCGGGCCGTCATTACAGCTGATCTCTTTACATTTCATTTCTAGTTAGTACTCTCCATATAGCATTGAACAGACTTTTGTGTGTGTGCGAGATAGACAGATCGTCCGACACCTGAGATTCTGATACCGGTCGTGCAAAGGAAGTCCTCAGCCGTATGCTTGATCCAAGTATGCGCCTGGGTCCCCGAAACTGGGTCAAGTTTGCTAAATATAGCATTACACTGTATTGCACGCGGACGCCTTTGAAATCATAATCTTTTTTTGGTAGCACATCGTTAGCATAGCCCATGAAGCCTGTTTGATGATAACTGCGCAAGGATGATTCTAAGCAATGTATAGTATAAAACCTGTTTGGTCAAGCTAGAGGGCTGCTTGGGAGATACTTTGTACAACGATGGATGACCAGTCTTCTGAGGGCACAATATCAATCGCCGTGGCCAATCGAGTTCCAATAAGAAAACTGGGAGTCGCTGCAGGAGACGACCGCAACATGGAACACCACGTCAGAAGATATGTCTTGGAGAGAATGTGAGCCTCGGGTCGTCCAGACTTCGTATGACCCAGGAAGAGTATTGAACAGATCAGCTTCAGCTCTGTTCTACTCGGCTGGATGCTCGAGCGCTAGAGGGAAGCAGAGAGTTGCTACAGCAAAGCAACTCGCAACTCGAAAAGCAGATGGATTCTGCATCAAAGCAGATTGACCGGCTCACGGAGCAGAACACGGCGCTCCGGTGGTAAGTTGACTGTGCTCTACCTGTCCCCGCATGAGGTCTCATGGGCTGATGGTACACGAAGGGATCTCGATGGCGTAAAAACGTATCTCGAGCAGTTCCAGGACTAATCCTTTAAACTCAGGCAGTTACAAGCAGCAAGAGGACGACGGTTCGGAACGGAGACTAGCTCTGCGACTGAGAAGGGAGACAGCATCAGTTTAACCTCGGGCTTATCTGAGACTGTCGGTGATGGCATTCATAGTTATCTACAGACACGTCCCTATCGTAATTATCTGAGAGCTGTATAGCTGCATAATATGGTTCAGCCTAAGATAGCCTGTTGCATTGTGCTTTGATGCCTTATGTGTCCAAATTCGACGTAGGTTTCCGAATTCAGCTAGGTCTCGTGCCCATCCAAAAACCGCTTCATCGTACGTCAACTAAGTGAACGTCAAGTCATGATATAGGACGTCCGACTAGGAGCTTATACGTGTTTCAGCTCGATATGAGTGACTTTAATATTGTTTGTTTGGGTATGGATATGGAACTAGTAGTGGACTGGCATAGAGTCGAGGAACAACGGGGCAAGTATCAACCTGCCTGATATACTGCGTAGGACAGACTTAGAACGGCAAGGACCGTAAACGGGCTCGGCTGTTCTTAGGTCCTCTGACAGTAAAGCAGTCCCGAACCGTTTCTGCTCCAGAAGTCGTGCAGCAAGTACCCCTGCGTGTGCAGATTGCTTGGGTTCATCCTTCGGTCTTTCCAGCGAACCCGATACAATGGGTTATTCTGTTGGCTTCTTCTATGGAAAGCCATCTCTAAGACACAGCTGGTGAATCAAGGGCGAAACGCTCTGCCATCATAGCTTAGTATCTCCACCGGTTTGTTCGAAGCTCTATTGTATGGTTCACAAGTGGTACTATCCACAGAAGATACCGAACGACTTACGGGGGCCCCTCACTGAATGCTTCAGAGCACGACCAAGACATACGACTGGTGCTGATCTGACTTGTCTACATTGTCGGGTTATTATTGAGTAGTTGATACTAGATGCTATTGTGTCTATTCCATTTATTCCTAACATGCCTGAGGATTGCAGCATTGCAACTCTGTGTACAATTTACAACGCCGTTGGAACTGGTTAGTACAGTAGAATCCTTTTCTCCATCGAGCAGCTGTTTGTAAAGGGTTAAGTTTGACGAGAAAAGCATCTCTTAGTAGTATTTCTCACGACGGCAAACTAAATAGATGACGCTGCGTCCCTGTCGTCTTGGCCCTATCCATGCTTCAAGGTTTTCTAAGACTACTCTGTTCAAGGTTTTCGGTAGCTTTTACAGGGTCTCCCGGCCCGCCTTCCGGAATTTTTGACAAAACTTGGCGGGGGCGATTTCGTCCGTTTCGAGGACGCAGGGTAGGTCCGACCCTCTGCAATCCCGCAGTTGATGTAGGCGACGATTGAGTCTCGGAAGCCTGTGCAAGATAGTCCGGGTCGATCGTGAGACGGAGCGTTTCTATCTCCCTAAGCAAACTCTCATTGTTCCTGGCGAGCGCAGCATTGGCCTCGTGAAGCTGTGCTACTTGAGAAACTAATTCACCCGTGGCATCGCGAAGCTGGCTGTAAAAGTGTTGCAAAGTTGTACGAACCGGAAGCCAGCTCTGCTGAACGTCGCGATCGATACGAATGAATGCATCATGGAGCTGCACTGTTATTAGTTCCATAGCGTTCTTCACAATCTTTAGCTTACCATGTCTGTCACCTCTGATTCTGGCAGCATGGTTTGTAGAGCTACTGGTAGACAGTCCCGCCTGGATAAATCTAGATATTGGAAAGAGTTTGGTATCGTGAATCTCATCATGCGTTCTTTGTGCTTCATTTATATACGTCCTCGACTCATCCGCCTTTTCGTCTGACTCTTCGTCGCAGTGTGCCAAGGAATCGTACTCACCTCCTCCTTGCTTGGAAAGTCTACAGGATTATGCGTGGTGCCAAAGATCATTTTTGCATAAACTCCCTGCGCTCTCCTAAGGGCGTTGACTTTCAGCTAGTCTCCGACAATTTGATACTAGCTAACGATGAAACCCCCTTGCGTCTGGCCATGTTCACGCGGTCTGTTCAACGTCGTCTGGGCTGTGCCGATGATGTGTCGCCAAAAACAGCAGGCATGCAATATGGGGTTGCAGTGGGACCGAGACCGCTTCTGGTCAAGCTGCCAGGCAAAATCATTCCTTGCAGCAGAGGTTCAAGCCGTGGTAGAGAACCTTCGTCAGATCCTAGGCGACTTCGACCGGCTTGTCACACCAGAAGATGCTCTGAGCCAGCCTAGAGACTTGCCTCGGAGCGAGAGCGATGAATGGGAACCCGGACTAAATTAAGTTGATCAGAGTACATGCGTGTTGCTCAGGTCTTACTTAGCTAGACTAGACAGGACCGTCAATCAGCTTTGTCATGCTTTACTCTACAGACGTTCCCACATTGAAAACTGCATTATGCCTTGCAGTGATGAGGGCGCGCAGGAAGCTCTTCACTCTCTTGCATAGTAAGATATGGGTCTGCGAGCCGCTGCGTGAACCGTTGAGCAGTATAGTTATAGCCAAGGCGACTGACATGGTTTGGCTCAGATATATCTATGGCTCAGCATGGCCTAGCCGATTGGAGAGCGGCGATGACTTGGTGGATGTCATGGCTCAGTATCGTGGGTTTAACGGCTCAGTATCGTGGGTTTAACGGCTCAGTATCTAGACGACTCCACTAACCCTGTAAATCCTGGAGCCTAGTATATCCTACTAAGGTGTAGATACAACTTACTGTAAAGCGTCTTAGGCCTTCGCTTATAATACAGCTTAGCATAGTGGTATTCTTTCATGGTTGATAGACGTCATGTCAACATTTCACTTCTCTGTTTCAGGTACGTGGTGGACGAGACCGGAGGCGGATTCATACTCTACTGGCTATGTATCTAGGTGAGCAGTTTGGCAGCTCACCTTGCCAGTGGCCCGAGAATCAACCCTCCAGTCCGTATACTGTCACCTACCGAAACTCGCAGCTTAATCTTGATGGCTGTTCTGTTTGTCCATCGCCACATGTTATAGACGACATATGTACGGAGGGACTGGGGATTGCTGTTGGCAGATCGCACTGCTAGTCTGGTGCGACTTTGCACTGGACTGAATGCAGTCTTACTCAGAGTGCAGCTAATACGAACTCATCGGCATCTTCTACCTCTGGGGCCGGTAAAAGTCGAGAATTATACAACGTAGAAACGATGTGGGAACACTACTCGCGCAATCTTGATATGTTTTCCAATATGAAGGTGCAGAAGCAAAAATGCTCTGGCGTCATAACTGTTCAGCCCCGGGGACAGTTCATCTGTTCTAAGAGGGTAAAAGGAGTCCATTGTGGTCGAAAATTCAGCAAATTAGAGCATCTAAAGCGTCACCAGGAGACACACGACCAGGAACGCACATTCACTTGTGATATCATGCTAAGAACCTCTGATATTGGCCGCCATCGAAAAGAAGGACCATGTCGTCAGACTTTCTTGCGACACGACAATTATCTAGCACATTTCCGCACCCATCTCGTTCAAGATACACGGGGACTGTTCTTCCCCCGACTGAACAATACAGAGCTCTACGCAGACCTGATAGCCCTGATGCCGGTGTTAAGGTCTGGGGTTGACACGGGAAACATGCACAGGTACCACCGAAACACGCGAGTGTCATGGGAGAATCTAGTGGAGCGTGTCAGAGAAGCAAAGGGTGCCCTAGTGGCTGATCAGATACTTGCTACCATCTTGCGAGCTTGCTTGAGACATGATGCGCGTGTAGCGCAGTAGTTTTGCTCGGTATGAATGATGCTGAATGATCTGCATTCCAAAATCCAATATACCGTGAGCTGTGACATCACTTGTAGCATATGACTAGACTCTATTTGCAGTCTGTCGTAGTTGAAGTTAATGTGGCGACGTGGACGAGCGCCATATGTGTCAATCTTATGATCAGGGAATGTCTCGCGGGAGATGTTGTAAGGATAATATCCCAGCTCTATTCAAGCCCTATCAGAAGAGTTGCAATCTAACATTGCCAGATCCTACGCGCACTGCCACCAGTTATCTCAACCCGCTATTGCCAGTCTAGGCTTTGTAGTTATGTCGTCTTTGTCTTCTTCCAGAACAACCTCTAATAGTCCATCTCCATCCTGCCCCTTCCAGATTTTCCTCACGCTCAGTTCTGCATCCTCCACTAATTCCATCCATAGTTTTTCTTCTCTCTCAGTCCCAGAGAAGCCCGTCATCATAGCGACATCAAGTCCTGCAGCAGCCAGCGGCACCTTTCCCTCCGGCATCACCAGATCCATAATCAACATCTTGGAGTACCCAGGCTCCATAGCAACCTTGATATTTTTCAGGATCGAGAGTGCCAGAGCATGTGGCCAGTCATGGCAGATATGCTTAAGCAAATACGCTCGGGCACCCCTCACCGGCTGTTCTCTAAAGAAGTCGTGTGCGACAAATTCGACCCCAACAGCTAGCTCTGACGGGACGGTAGCTATAACAGATTCTTGATCTTGACAGACGAGTCTTCCAGGCTTGCGTGTGCTCTTCTCGGCAAAGAGACTTAGTTCATGGCCAAAGCCGCCGCCAACGTCAACAACTGTGACGCTGCTGTCCTGGCTAGGAGGAATACCGCAGCCTCGCAAATAATCACAAGCGGGACTCAAAAGACGCCCCTACCGTTTGTATCATTTGCATGGTGCACTGTACTTTCTTACTAGCGGACGCTGTGCTTGATTGAGGACAAGCACTGTATTGTTTACTGAGTCCTCCGCCATAGCGCACACTGGCGCCATTGTTTACTCGCCAAAGTCTTGGCAGTCTAGAATCCTGGACAGCAAATTAAAGATAGTCAAAAGGCCCAGTGCTGACCAGCTTAGTAGATCTTGTCACAGTGCCGTAAAATAACGAAGACTCGCCCAGAATTCGGTCCACTGGTTGCCTACTTACTGAGCCTCAAACGTCGATATCCCAGAGAGGCGTCCTGCCGCCCTGTAGCTCTCATCACTGCAGGGACCAGGAGAGGGCGTGTGGCATCAGGCATGATCCATCGATGCTTCCCACTGTGTGCATGCTCATTCTCCATTCCAAGGGCGCTCGAAGGATCACAGAATTCGCTACGGGTCGTCCACGGTAGATGGGAAAACTCTCTGAGTAGTTATTAGCTTGCTGCATCTTCCTACAGCTGTCCTACGTCACGATAATTAGCTACTTAGCCTACCTCCAGCATCCGCATCGATCCACGCAGCAATGCTTTCGGACGCAAGAGACTTTCAAATTCTTCTCAGCGATATCTCTTTATTATTGACAGCGTATGCTCGGAAGTATCCTATGCCGAGTGCGCTGACAAGGTCTCAACTAGAGGATCTGTCGAGCCACTTATCTCGGCTGCAGGAGACACATAGCAAAAGCGATCTAGAACGCTATGATCAGTATCTTTGTAACGAGCATGATATCGGTATAGAGGCAGAGAATAATGTGTATCTGGCCATCGATGAGATGCTTGACTTCTTGGGACGCGACACTGAGCATCCACACGATGAAGACAACTCTGCCAGTGCCGCACCCGAACACAACATCTCTACGAAACCGTCTGAAGGCATGGAAAAGGCCCCATCTCGATCAGAGGTGCAACGATGTCCAACAACAACAACCGGCGCTTGCCCAGTCGCCTTCGCCAGTACGGAAGTCACCAATACCACCGGAACACGACATGGCGAACGAAAGACGTTCCTAAAGAAGCCCAGGAGTGCCAGAATCGGGGAGAGAAAGCGTAATGTAGCCCATATGTCGACCGCATACATAGGTCAGTCGCATGCTATCAGTCGTGCCGACGTTTCTACTGTCCTAAAGTTGGTCTCTTCTCCGCCCGAGATCGATCCGTGGAGTATATATTCAGAGTTCAAGCGACATGACGTCCGATGCGGTACGGGCTTCGACCATAATCGACTTTATCTGCTCACTAAGCTGTTCTACGCCATTGGGAGTCCCGACGCGTTCAGCCAGTTGCGCGATACCAGTAGCATCCTTCGCACAAGAACCATCAGTCTTCATCAATCATCGCAAGACTTGAATGGCACTATCGCAGAGCTAGACCAGCTAGAAGCATCCGTGCATGCCAGCTCTGTGCTTCGGCGATACCATCTAGTTCATCTGTACTCTCTACGTCAAAAGTTGCAGGCGCAAAGGGGACAGAACTCAAAACGTTTGCGTCCAGATCGTGAGATTGGCCGTACTTCTGGCCATACTGGGTCGCAGATTCTTGCGAAGATCATGGTTGAAGCCTATCCTGACGTAAAGGCCACGAGACAAAGCCGTACCAAAGGCAAAGATGAGTATGGGCGTAAGCTGCAGACGCTGAAGGGACGACTACTAGCGGGGCACCGATGGTCTACCTTGGCCCATGCATTTGCCCCAGGTATTCTTGCGTTGATGCCGACACAAGGAGACTACCAGGTCACAAACTCTGAGTACGTAAGTTGCGCTCCACGGATACGGAGTACTGACGAAGTTTAGCTACGAGAAACTACCTGCACCTGCCATTGATATGCTGATTCAAGTGCTGATTCACCATCGGAGCTCATTTCTACAACAAGTTAGCAAGGCTGTCTCATCAATTGCGTCGTCGACGTTCCTCCAAAGCCCGAAATACTTTTTTGAAACTCAGGACAGGGATATGCTAAAGGTTGAGAAGTACGATTCGGCTCGCTTGATCGAACTGTGCTCGCAAGACACAATGTCAGGCACGTGAGTTGCACGTGGCCTTCCATTCAACGGATTTTTGTTCGTCGTTTCTTGACGTCTAGCGTTGCACACTACAGCGAAGTTATGTTGGCTGACAGATCTTCCGATTCGCGTAACGCCAAAACTATTCGAGACTTGCCCTCGTTCCAAGAAGTTGAAATTGGTTCAGAGAAGAGATAGAGTAGCCGATGATGTGATTGCGACAGAGGGATGATAAGCTATGTACAATACAGATCATTTCACGAACAGTACGCGAGTAGTCTACGTGACTTACATGGCATACTATTCAAGGTCTGCACTACTATGAATTTGGGAAACAAATGTATGAGCAGCAAGATCTCTGAGAGATATCGCACAGTCCGTCATAGTGCCCAGGCCATGAAGAAGAGTACAACGAGAAGCATGGCACATCTGGCTTCGTCATCTTCCTCGCGATAGTTCTCCCAATTACAGCAGCCGCTGGTGTCGGGTACTGGGTATACCAGAACTGGGACGGCAAGTTTGGCCGCATCCGACTGGGCGACGGCTATAATTCGTTCGACAGCAACAGTCCATGGATATCATGGCCCATCGCGGCCGTTTCAGGCCTCATTGCCGTTCTCGCTACGATCCCATTACTGGTCGGCAGTCTGTGGCGAAGTGCAAGCAGCAGATTCGGTGGCGGCCGTGGCTACGGAAGCCGGACGTACACGAGTAGAGCCTCGTTTGGCCGCGGCGACTATGCGATCGTGGATCCGGACGAAGGTGAACTGCTTGGTGATGACAGTGACGAGGACGTCTAGGAGCCGGTGAATCTGTAGCATGGGTTTTTTTGGGAAGCACAGGCATAGGATGGGTAGAACACAAGGTTGAACCCAATTTTTGAGAGGGGAGGCTCGGTGCCTTCCCTTTCGAAATGTAGTTTTAGTTCCTTTCTTGAGCGCTGCGCAATCTGATTCTCAAATGTCTTTCGTGCCATGGAACTATGTGTGTGCGTGTGTCAGCTTGGTGCTTGACGAGTAGTGCTATACTGTTTGATCATTCACAATGTCTACCTAGCTAGCCTTGACATGGTCGAATGGTTCCCCCCCCTTTACTGTCCTGTACTATCTACCATCATCTCGAGATTACATTCGCGAAACTTGCTATTGCGCCGATGTCAATTCAATAAGCTAGCATCGCTGACTATCTCCCACAGTTATATAGATGGCTGTGCCATTCATTCATGCAGCCAAGAGTGAAAAAGATTGTGAACCAAGCGAAAAGAACGAGAGGGGACAGTAACCACGAGGTCACCCATCGCGACGTGGGATCGAAAGAGCGCGATGCAAGAGAGAGGCGCATTCTCAACGGACGGCGCAGCCATGTGGGAGTAGGTTTCAGTTGTTTGCTGCTGCGGGAATTTCTTTGAAAACCGGTTCAACGCCGGGGGCTCTATGTTCGGGAAATTGGCCGCACATGCAATGATCGCTTGGGGCCCCGAACGTACCTAAACAGGAGATCTGGCCAGTACAGAGAGTCGTCACTCGTGAAGCGTTTGGCGTGTCCCGCTTTTTGGGCGCGAACGCCAGATCGCGTCGGGCCGAAAGGGACGATTCCCTTAACTTATTGCACTTTCTCTCGACGTCGAGCGTCCTCCGCCCTACATATGACAATAGTAGATCAAACTCACCCTTACTCCACGCCGCTCATTATGTTTGTGCTATACGGTATCTGAGCATGGCAGAGCATGAAGCCGTTTTTGAAGTGTAGAACAAGCGAATCGTGCATACCGAGATCTAGGGATCGCAATTCCTTTCGTTGATCGAAGCGAATGTGCGGAGTAGAAGGTGGTCCTATTAACATGATAATTAGGCATGCAGCTGTTCTTCCTTGTTGATTGTTGCCTAGAATAGAGATGGGCGGTAGACCTCAAGGATTGATAACTGACCGGCCTCACCGATCCATCGAGGGCGCTTTCAGCTTGCAGCCTTTAAGAGAGCCCTTCGTCAAGGCTCACACTTCAAAAAGCACTCATCAGAGACTCTCTTTAGTTTCCATCTTGTTGACCGCACTCATCTGAGTCCACTGGTCAAACGAAACGCAACTGTTGCTGAGACTCTCGGCGTGCATGCCATGCCTCCTTCACGCCAACCCACCAGCCGATCAGATGCGGGAAGATCGCTTCGAGAGAGACTCACTCAGCCTTTGCAGAGCATCGCCTCCAAACAGCGTGCCCCCTCGCCACAAAGATACCCCTGGAAAATCGGCATTTACAATGGGGTGACCTGGCCAAAATTGAAGGCTCACCTCGAAACCTTGTTCCCCGGCACAGAGTTCAAGGAGAGAACGGTAATCGAGCGCGCTCTGGTGAAGGAGAGGCTATGGTGGCTAACGGTCAATCCTACAGAAGGGAGACTATTGGATAGTCAAAGTTCCAGCACCATTCACAACAGTGAGTGCACTTCCCTTGCATTGCCAACGTACAAAGATCTCGATTGACGTTTCCAGGATCGCAAAAACGAGATACTACAGCTGAGAGATGATAATCGCGCAAGAGAACCATCGCTTACGCCCGAGCCCGGAATGCATATCAAAGTTTCAGTCGAGGGAATGGCAAATGACCCATCTTCGGTTTCTGAGGGTGGGGCAGGTGGTGCGCCATAGGCTGAAAGCGCAGCTTAAGTGGAGTATGTCACAAGGATGATGCTGCGTAATCGTTCCTCCGGGCGAAGGGTGGCTAAATCATGGGTGCACCAAAAAGTCGGACATGTGTACAGCCACACACAACGCATTGTTGAAGCAAGACAACGTAAGGTTGACACTGTAAATTTGTTCAAAAGAATAACTACATCGCGATCGTTCATATTTCCTCTAGCATAACTTTCCTTAAGTAGTAAATTCTATGCAAGCACAACAACCATTGGTCTTCACTATTTGTTCAAAATGTTCTTGGTTGACCATCAGCTTGCGGAGTCGATCCGAGGAGCCCACAAGTATCCACAGAACATCATTACAAGAACGTTAGATGCATGTGCCTGGACATTGACAGGCGCAACCACTTCACTAGACAAAGCGACACCTTCGTTGTTTGTAAAACGCGAAGAAGAGGTAGACCTGACGTTCCGCGATATAGACCCTCAGGAAGGTATTTAGAACAATGTCCACTATGTCACAAGCACACAATCTGACTCGAATCCTCAGGCCTCAAAAAGACCAACATTCATCTGGAGGGCAAAGAATTGGAATGGCTCGGCGTACAGTCGAGAATGAATGAAGAGTGCCCACGCAAGCCTCCGTTCATATATGCTCAGAGGAGGGATCCGAAATGTCGTTTTATGTACGTCTCAGAAATATGCGTGCGAATTACCAGCAAAGCACTAATCTTTAGCAGCTACATATACGGTATTCACAGCAGAGCGGCTCTAAAGGTGTCCAGAAGCATGCTCACAAACGTTCTCTCGTATCATGAGGTCATGCCGGCGTACTTGGACTTTATTTTAGCATTCGGGTTGAAGTACGAACCAGATGATCTCAAATTCAGTGCCTTCATGGAGCAGACTACTTTATCAGCACCACGTGGACCTGTCACAACAGAGCTAGGCCGAAGCGGACGGCAATTCCAGCTATGTTACAATCTACGGACCGCGATCAAGAAATCTGAGGAGAACGGCTTGGGTAATCATCAGGAATGGTCCATCCAACCAGCTGCAATCCACCATCAGTTTGATGTAATCGAAGGCACTACCCTCTGGATAGTCACAAAAGGGGGTCGCGATTTATACCACCGTTATAAGGATTTCTCTGCATCGAGCGTTCGGCCAGGTGGCTTGGCTTTCACATCACCAGAAGAGTGCCTGCGATCGAGCCTCTCAACACATCTAATGTTCTGTCGTTGGGCTACGGAGGGATGGCGATGGTTCTTGAAGTGGCTTGAAATGACTGTTGAGGAAGAGGTAGGGCAAAGTACTCGCAGACATTATCACTCTGTTAATGTGACGTTAGACTCAGCTCGCCGGCTATAGCCCATGGAAGAATTACAGATCCGAGCACCTTGTGCGGTTGCATCGGCATTTAGACAAAGCCGCAGGAATCGTCATTGCATTGGAGACGAATGTGGATATCTTGACCTTACTTCGCGAATACTACTGTAAGCTGGTCAGTAGTTATGATTATCCATCAGCCTTGAGAAATGCCTGCAGCGACGACTTGCATTGCTTCGATACCAAACTTGGTGTCATGGTGCATAATTCCAAGATGGAACTGTTCAGGGCAAAATCACTTGTGGATATCGTTAAAGATCGAAAAGAATTGGTATGATTGACGATCTGGAAGCCACACTTATCACACATACTAACGCACTCCAAGATAGTGCAACACTTGCAGACTCAGGCTTCTGAGAGAATAGAAGCTGTCAGCAATCGTATGGAACGGGAAGCTATTGCAGTCAGAATGTTGACAATTGTCTTTGGAGTATATCTACCGGGCAGTTTCGTATCGGTCAGTGTTACCACCATTACTATTCTTTCTCTGCTGGTTCTAATGTGAATCAGGCCTTCTTCTCCACCGACGTTGTTCATTACTCCGCTAATGATAATGAGAAGGTGGTGTTCTCATCAATAGCACTGGACAGATGGCTTCAGCTGACAGTTCCTTTGACTGCGCTCACTTTGATATTCGTCTATTGGTCACACTCTTTCGCGAACAAGTCAGCGATGTTTAACAAGTTCATGCTCGCAAATGCTCGGGGTATAGCACGCTCGGTTCGCTCATTTGCTCTTCGAAAACGTGCCACGATAGAATCAACGACGGTTTAAGGGATGCAGGAGACTATTATACAAATGTACATATATATTTACGATACTGCACCGCCAGCACTTGCCGCCACTATACAAGAGATACATATGCTTGTCTACGATTTAGAGCCATCCAGTGAACATCACGATGCTCGTCGACATTAATGCCTCATGCCAGCATTGCATCGATCGGGGCTTGCAGCATGTGGCGTCCTTGCACAGCCTTAAGATCACACATTAAACCTTGTCCGCAGCACTTCCCAGCAAAGTGTCCTTGTGGAGAGGGCATCTCTCGCACACCGATCACTGCGTGTGTCCACAGGCCAGATTGCAGTAGATTCGACTTACTAGCCTCTCGTAAAGAAAGAATGCCAAGGGTCCGAAGCAAGAGATGGAAGTCGGCGTGACGTGTGCATGTGAAGCTCGCCCGGTTGGAATCGTAGACGTGTTAGGGCCGGGCAGCGTGCTGTGATAAAAGGAAGTAGGAAAGAGCTGAGTCTTCTGCGAGCTCACTGCTTACTATGCAGAATCTGAGTGTGCGCTTGAATTATGGTAATTTACAATCTTATCAGTCTTCCACTACCTGCGAAGCTACTATGCAGATGCAGACTAAGCGGGGCTTCTCACAGCCTTGTCTGTGTGGAAGTACCCTCATCTATCGTACCTCTGGAAAGGCAGCAGGATTTCCATATACCTCTTAGATCCTTCTGCCGTTCACTTTTCATCTGTTTGAATCTGCGATTGTCTAGCGTATCTCTTTCATGAACTCCATATTCACTCTTGAAGGCCCGTCTACGGGTTTAACCGTCTGATCGGCCCTACGAGGCTGAGCCTCGCTCAATTTGTAGCGGTTTCACTTTGACAAAGATCAAGATGCAGTTCGCGACGGCACATACACCCCATATATTTCCCAGCATTGTCGATACGTTCAAGAGAAAGCTCGAAAGCTTGAGGACGAAGGCATACTGTGGTCGACAATATCTCAGGAGCATACCAATATCAGGAGACTGCTAAGTGTTGCCTTCTCAGATGCACGGCGCATATCTCCATCAGGATTCTTAAGCATGAATTTCATAATTTAATAGGCATATCTCATTTCGTTAGCCCAACACGCAGTCCGAAATTTTATCTGTGTGAGTGTTAAGCAAAGCAAATCTTCCAGCTCTCCCAGATTCCAGGACTATAAAGCCGGGTGTACCACATCATTTCGCACCATCCCTCCCCTTCAGGCTCACGCTCTTATACAGCGATAGCATGCATCCCAGCTCCGAGCCCATGTTTTCTACCTCGCCAACCATGTCAAGATTCTCACTCTCGCTGATAGCCAACAACTCGACCAACGTAGGAGCGCGGAACGACACAGCAATGTCTTTGCTCTCCAGCCTGCAAGCTTCCTCCACGCCGTCGAAGGTGCCCTGTGCTTCGGATGGGATTTGCTGGCCGACGGACTGTGCTACGACCAGCAGGCCGCCGAGGATGAACTTGACACAAGGTAGACCTGATTTGAGCAGGCGGAGATTGCAGACGGCTCGGGTGAAAAGATCAGGACTGGACCCATCCGGATTCAGATATGGCGATATCCCGCCAAGCATATATGACAGGTCGCCGTACCTACCTTGACCTTCCTTGATCACGTCTCCACGCAGGTGTTCATGCCTGCGGCAATGCAATAGAAAGTGACGTGTGTCTTCTCTCCCTTGACTGCATTCGCACTGATCACTCTCTTCGATTGCAATCTTCTTCAGAAACGATCGTAGCTTGACATGTGCTCCGGGTAGTGCTGTGTCTATTTGTTTTAGATGTCTTCCCGACTTCCACTCCTGTTGCGGTAGTTCCTCTGCGGTACATTTCTTGAGTACTGACACTGCCATTGCGCGGAAACGACCTTCGAGTCCTTCGTCGTTGTCTTTGCTGCTGCGTCTGCCTCGTCGTGTCCCTGTATGCCTGAGTGCGACGGGACCCATGCGAGATCAATCGCCTCGCCTTTATATGGATGGTGTAGTGCGATATGATCCTGCACTAGTACAGACACGCTAGCCCGGGGTAAAGCTGCTCTTGGCAACAATTTGTTGCCAAGAGCGGCTGAAGGAGGAAGAGCTCTGTAATCCGATCGGTCCGAATAAATACAAGCATGCGCTGCGATCCCATGTCCCGGGGGAAAAACACGACAACAGCGAGAACCGAAATTTTTGGAATTCAGTCGATCAAACGTACGCATATACCTTCTCATTAGGCTACTTGACTTGCTGTGAGCCAGGCGCATCGCCCAGTGCGACCCGGACACCATGGCAGCCGCGTGGCCTCAAGTGATGGTGTGGCCCACCGCGCTCCGCGAGCACGCAACTCATCTCAGCAAGCACCTGCGAGACATCCTCCTCAACATCGAACGCTCGCAGGATCAACCAGTGCCCTCCGATCAGGTCAAAAATATCATTATGGGCACGCTCGGCCTGGTCCTTAAGATGCAGAACAACCCCGACGTCAGCACGATCCGCGACGCGCTCAG